CGACGCAACATATTCTGTGCCAGGATGTTACCGGAATAAAATACTCGCGCGGAGAGCGCGCCGGCGAACATCACTTCCAGTGAAACAGTATTGGGGGGAGGGTCAAAAGGTCGAGCAGCTATTGGGCCAATAATCAACGACTGTGATTATACTGCGGTAATTAACAACTGTGATGTGGGCCAAGAGCAGTCATCGCAGCATGAATAGTCATCTACAAGTAATGCATGAGCCTCTACTTAGGAGAGGCATGGGAGCGCGAACAACCGCATCCAATATATACTACAACCCTTGTGTATCGATTAGCTTCATCCTTATGCTGTCTCGGAAGGTAAGTTCGAGTGGGAATTGGAAATGCCGGCTAAACAATCCTTTTGTTCCAGCAGAAGCACCCCCCCTTCCTCGATGAACCTAATCGGAGCAGATCATACTTAAGTTGTTATACACGCCTGTAGAATCTTAATAGACTTATGGTTGAGGAGGAGGAGAAGTAGCCTAGGTGTACTGACTGCATAGCAAATTTCAATCCATTTGTCTGAGAAGTAGACGCGACCTCTAGGATAAGAACTTTATTCACCTGACGTTTCGGATTCCAGCTCGAACCCATCTTCAGAGGCAACATGGAGAGTTACAGCATTTATAGGATGCAACCACTAGGCTATTGCATACCTATAACAATTAACAGTTCCCCCTTCACCTGCCGAAATTCTAGCACCTGTGTTGAAGGTTAGCGTGGTGATTGTTCGGCAACCTGGCTCACTGGCAATGGCGTTGGAAAGTGTGTTCGCCTGCGCGCTCCCTGAGGGGCTCATTGCCTTGACCAAACTAAGTCTCAGCACCGTAGATAGGTTAGGGAAATCAGTGTACTTCTTAATAGATTGGGGAGCCCGTAAAGTATGACTGAAAAAAACTCGAGCCTATACGATTGCCAGCTCTCACGAGAATCGCGGTCTCATCGGACCTGAATGTGTGGCAAGGTCTCGTTGAATGCAGGCCATCAATCAATTAGTTTACCGGAAGGCAATCATCCTCGACGAAAGGTGAGCCGTTAATTGCCATAGGTATACAATAGCCAAGCGATCACATCCTATAAACACACTAACTCACTGTGTACGACTGACCCTTATCTGACGCTGCAGCTGAAGATGAGTTCGAGCTAGACCACGAAACGTCCTGCGAAAAAAAGTTATCGTCCCAACGATCGTGCCTACCTCTTCGCAAGTACTTCCTGGGACTCGCATTTTCACTTTTATCGGCAATCCATTTGTTTCTCACCTTGTCTTTTCCTAACTTCGCTGAACATGGGTTAAGGTGTGGGGTGTAGGGTGTAGGGAGCCCTAGCTGGCGGTGTCAGCGTTCAAGGTGCAATGAGTCGCATCACTTGCATAGTGCAGATGATGACTGTTGCTCACAGTCCTTAAGTGGCACCCAACGATCATCTGGGGCTCCCCGGTGTTGGGCTCTGCCTAGCGGCCACATTCCGGTAACCACCTCAATCGGAGGGCTAAGCCAAATGTTGGTAACTGGTATTCTCGACCCTGTCTTTACACCGGGCCTGGGTGGGGGAGTGGAACAGAGAGTGAGGCAGATTCATCGCAAGCCCCCGTCTTTGCAACACCCTGCTGCAGAACACACGATGGACCCCGCCGAAACCGACAGTCAGACTGTCATGTGTGTCCACCCCCTCCCTTTCGATTCCTCCTTTTTTCATCCATTTCAAAAAGTCCTACGGAGGAGGCGGCCCGGGGTAGCTCGTACCGCTTTTTCACTAAAAAAAGCCCTGATCCATCATGAAGTTTGGAAGCCATCCAGGTGACAATGCGGCCCTGTTTAAGGGCAGTACTGCTTACCCTCGCCCGCGGCTAGAACATGTGCCTTGAACAAACGCTGTGACCACATCTCATCTGCACGCTAACCCTGATATAGCAATATAAAACACACGGTGGAAACAATCGATCAAACAAACAACAAGCCTCATCTTGCACGGCCCACCCCACAGGCTGCTATAGTGACTCAACTCACTCTGCCAGCCTGGAATATTCGCTCTCTTTTAGGAGCAACCGACCAGAAAGGAGAATGGCGCTAATCACTAGAGAACTGGCGCACTACAAGTTGGACCTCCGATAACCCGCAGTGCGAACCAATTCTCTATAAAAAGTCAAACTTTTTACTGCGTCCGAACATCGGCAAACAATCATGATCAACACAAAACAGTTTGCAACATACCTCAAGGGTATTCTTGTTAGTGTTCGACTCCTTGTAGTCTGTCAGGAGTTGAGCGATCTCCTTCTCGAGGCGCTGGATGAAGGGTTGGGAGAATTCATCACCACCCATTTTGGGAATAGTTTCAAAGAGCTTCTTGGCTGCGCGGAGGGCGTCCTGGTGTGCAGCGTCGATGAGTCTAGTGGCCACGAAAGGGCGAGATGGGCCACAAACCTGTAGACACGCGCCAGGGCAGTGGGGGGGGGGAAACTGGGTGAGATTAAGGTTATTTATGCAATATATCTAATTGTCAAAGACCACCGCGCTACTGCTAACCCACATAGTAGAAGTTAGCCTTGCAACAGTTGGCTCCTTTGAGGACCTGAACCTTGCATTAGCACAAGTAATAATAGCAGACATGGATGCTGTTTGGGGGCCGGAACATCGCGATAACTATGCAGACAAAAAGCCCAATCCTACGACACAGGGCGGGGTTAGCATCCACCGTTGCCATCTTTTCTAACTACACTGCGCGGATCTCTGGGTGACCATCGACTGCAGCGATAAAAAGCCTGCAAAATTACAACAAAATGCGGAAATTCATTTTCACGTAGAAAGGATTGCTTAAATGGTGTTGTCATACTGATAATTAAAATGCGATGTAATTCCAAGATATTTAAGTCACTCCAACTTTGGCATGCACTTCTTTTCGGTCGTCTGTCAGCACAGCATCGCTTTTCGCTGCCTTTATAAATTCAAAAGCATTTTAGAGAAAACAAATGCAAAACTATTCCTTCTTGTACTCATTTTAGTAGCAGATGACATCTTAAAATTTCATACTCGTAGAGAAAGAGCATATTTAGGTTTCAAACGTTTTTTTGGATTTTTATAGGGGTTTTAAGTCCGATCAGTCGTTCCATTTGCGTTCAGTTTCTACAGACCGCAAGTGCTACAGTTTGCCTTCCTTTATTCCACTAAGGACCATACCATACAGGATGTAGATCATGTTGCCTACTTCATGAAGACCATTAATAAATGAACAGATGCGATTATTTGAATGGACAATTCGGGACTTTAACAATCTTTAATGAAATTGGACTACGTAACGAAGATGCAAGCTAAACTACCGGACCAGACGAAATTCAAGGAAGTAGACAAAGAAGATTGCACGGATGAAGCAGAGACACAACTGAATGACTGCATAAGAAGACTCCGCACGGGAGATTTCATAAGCGACCGCGACCTCACCAGAGAGGTGTTGTGAACGCAAAATTCAGCTACCACCCCTGGTCCTTTTGGGTGGCTATCCACCTTCGACTGCGGCCACGGAATGACAGCTCCCGAGGGTCACTCGCTGTACCCTGGCGCAGCTACGCAGTGGCTA